AAAAGCAAGCATTATTTTTCATAACATTTTTTGGGATTTGATTTGTTGGCGCCCCTATTTTTTAAATTCCGTATTCCCGGAAAATTATACCGGAAAAGTTGTTTTGGAGTGTTTAAATTGCAAAATTTCGAAATTTTCACCCGTGGGAAATGCCCCTTTTAATGTCTCATTGATCTTTTTCTACCGATTAATATACGGATGTAAATGGAAACTGTTAGAATCGGCGGGAAATGCAATGTTTTTCTATTTTGTGATCATGATTTCTGTAAGCGTCCTGAGTTACTGCTCCAGCATTGTAAGTGATTTAAATCCATTTTAGTTGTTGCCTTAAATGACGAGCGTTAACACCCGCAGTTGTGGTACTATGAATTTCAGACATCTCAAATTTTTGCGGAGAAATGGTAGATATATAATTTAACCAAATTCACATCAAACGCGGTGTGATCTTTGATCCATACTGGGAAAATACATTACATTTGTCAAAACTACAGTGCAAAGCTTCAGCAAGAGGTCTTTTATGGAATTCACGTGTTTTTAAGCCTGTTAAAAGCCTCAGCGAGCTGCCAAGGAACGAGTTTATTATAATATCTAAGATTTTTGACATCTCAGATACTAGTTATTTTTAGATAACCTATCGGTATTAGATGCGATGAAACTCAATGTAACGTTAATGATTGAACCATGAGTTTTTTCTCTCTCTAAAACATCGCCCATATATGGTTATGTTTTTTAATAGTTACATGTACTTAGTTTTTTTTTTGCGCGAGTATCAAGTATCAGCGTATAAGTTTACGAGGGCGACTTGTTGCATCTGGATTCACATCATTTGGTTATAATTGGTTGACAATGGGCATTCTTCAATTGATTTTGATTGTCCGGCATATTTTTCAATCATAACTTAACCGAAAATCATTTTATTTTCCATCAGATGTCAAATGCATGCATTCATTGCTTATTATACAAATATTACATCCACATCTGGAGTCATGTGGTAATTGTCGCCGTTCCTGGTAGCGACGTATACCGCATGCACTAAGCCAATCAAAACGAAAAAAATAATACCACATGATAACAAAATGGGCTTCAAAAAGGGGCGCTACGGGGCACGTCATTCTCCACGTTTTTATGTTGGGTAACTTCTATATAAAACTGAAATATTGTACTGTCGTCATGTACGCAGCAAGAAGTCTATATTACGAAAAGTAAATGTTTCGAATGATCAGCTCGTCAGACTAGTAATCAAACGATCGCTAGTCTCATTGGTTCACACCCCGTCAGGGGCAAGTCGCTGTTTCCTTGAGCAAGAAACTTTACACTAATTGCTCAGTACTGGTTGGTTCCAAGAACGGATTCGAAGGTGTGTCTATAAGCTTATAGCTTTCTACACAATCGAACTAAAATAAAGTTTGTGTGTTTAAACCAAATATATACATTCGTTTTACATTATCAAAGATAACACTCTCTTTCTGTTTACATTAAATTGTCAAAGATAACAATCTCTTTCTGTTTACATCTGAAATTACGTGGTAGAACCACTTTCAAATCCGTATTAACTCCGAGGTTATTATGAATAATAGCTGGTGTGTTCCGATTTGGTGTTCCTATTTGACTTAACATTTACGTTGTCAGCTTACAGAAGATAATTCCAATTGATTGCAAATATCCATTGCGGTTTCACAAAGGAGCATGATTGGCAACATCTAAATCGGTACTTTAATCTTCCTACATTCGTTTTGATGACTAAGATCATTTTCATTTCCTTTGACTTTTACTTATAAACGAAATTGGTCGTTATCTACGGTAATAATCCCGCCTCGTGTGAAATTCAAACTTAATCGGATTAACTCATATTTTTAGAGGGAAAAAATAGAAAAAAACCCCAGCAAATTAAGCATGTAATTTTCCTTTAAATAGCAGGATCATGTCGTTACTGACAGATATCATTGTGAAGTAGCCATTAATGTGTTTAAAATTCTATGCATCTGTTGACTGTACTTTACACAATATTTTTTGTTTCATTTTTTACAAAGAATAATTCCAATGATACTTGTATGAACAATCCCTTTAATAGGGAATGGTGCATGTACGAAATTATTGCTAAACGGCAATAAAAAACCTATACAAAATAGCACTGCAATATATACTGTTCAGAAATAATTTATTCTGTACATTGTGTACAATGTTCGTGTGTGTTGAATAACAGAGGCATTCTATGAAACAAGTTTTAAGCTATCGAAACATCATTATTATACCGTTTGTAAATGTTACAAATATATTTCATGAGATTAAGCTCTGTATATAATAACTATTTTAGGTTATAAGCGCACTATTCCTTTGCAAAACATGGTCGTAATGTTGCTAAGGAGATATGACGATGTCAGCCCCCCAAAAAAGAAACAACAACACCCCCCCCCCAAAAAAAAAAAAAACCCCCAAAAACCCCAGAAAAACAACAATAACAACACAAGACAAACCAAAATCAAACAAACAATAATACCTCCTCCCCAAAAAGCAACAAAAAAAAATCATTGATTAAACTGATAATTTTATTCATCCGCGTAATTTGTTATTGTGCATTAATTGACAATTCTATAAGCCAAAGAGAAATTTAAACTTTTAATGCGTTATAATTCGCTGGATACTTGTACTTATGTATCTGTTGTTTTCCTTTAATAGCAATAGCAACCAGTAATGTTTTTACACATGCGCTATTTTAGATACAAATATGAACTTTGTGATTTCAGGTTATGATTAAGATTTTATATCTGCTTTTGTTTATAGTTTACAATATTTTTACATGTTCCTGTCATGGAGATTATTATTTAGGTGAACGATATTAGCGCCATCATGGCCCTCTTGTTGCTTCTGCTGGCCTCGTGTGCAAATGCAATGGTTTTTTTTTACCAACAGACTATATCAGAAAAACATATTTAGAGAGTTTAATTATAGTTACATAAATATGATAAACAGCATAGCTGACGAAAGTTTAATTTATTTTATTAATGATGCATTAAATGTATGCGGTAATACTAAACTATCACATTTCTCGCTAGTAAATCTGCCATAAAACGATATATTGACATATGTGAATATCAGATGTCGGGAAAATATTGTCCATTCATTGCTAATAAAAGAAAAGAAAGAAAGAAAGAAAGAAAGAAAAAAGAAAGAAATGAATGAATGGTGGATTGATTGAATGACTTATTTGATGGATTGATGGATAAATGAATGGATGAATGAATGAATGAATAAATGAATGAATGAATGATTATGGTGTTATGAAACATTAATATAAAAATGCACTTTTTTAACCTTTTATTTTCGTGATGTCGTGGACAAAAAGAAGCATCCATATTTGCAAATTGCTTTATATTCGTAGGTATTAAAATGAATATAGTAACAGTCTTCATATTTTTTTTTATTTTGTGATTTAATATTGATTGGCGCCTCTTTAATCCTCTAAACCTTTTAAACTTTTGTATTTTAACTTGCCTTTTATTTGAGCCACAATATACATGTAAGGGTCACTTTCAGGAGGTCAAGGTGATCTTGAACTTTGGCTTTGTTATCGGAAAGGGGGTCTGGTCGGCAGAGCTCATGAAGGTGCTTACAAACATGATGTTATAATGCTTTTGATGGAAGCAAGTTTACGATCAAAGTAAATTTTGGGTATTTATGGTCATTGTGACCTTGACCTTTGACCATGTGTCCCTTTGACCATGTGTCCCCTATGTGGATCTGACGGATGTAGGTGGAACGATTTCGTTGTTTTGTTCCAAGGAAAAGTTTTTGCCAAACAAACAAACAAACAAACAGGTAGAGAAAAATATATGTATAGATATGGGGGCATAAAATGGATTGTTTCATAATTTCTAAATACAATGTAATCAAAAATATTTATTTAAGGTATGATAGTACTAAATGTTGTATCTCCTTACTAAAGAGTATAAATTTTCAGTAGATTACAGAATACCTATAAGTGCATTGGCTTGAATCCCATGGGAAGCCAAGTTTTGTCTCGTATATATTTTAACTTTTTATAAAAAAAACTTCTTTGGAACCAATCGGATTAAGATATAGTTATGGTTTACGTATACTAAGATAGAAAAAAATAAATGAAGAAGAGATAATGATTTGTCTAAAATGGTCACGGTAAAATGGCTTGAGGTTTTGCACTTATGTTCAGAATAGTATACAAGATGGAAAGCAAGAAACGATGCTCCACAAACAGTCCCCGAGGAGATTTTTATTCCACATTGTGCCAACATTGCTCAAAATTTACCGTTAGCTATTTAGCCAACCGTCATTGTTTCAGGTATAAATATGATACTGGTCTTTGGTCCATTCTTTTGAAGATTACATTTATATTCAAAGCTTTGATAGTAAAATTAAGATGAAACAAATGAAATCATTTTTTCAACTTTTCAGTGAAAATATGGTTAGATTGGTGTCCTTAGTAACTGATCCAAAATTGTTTCATAATTTAATAAATAACAAAAGTGTCGAGAAACTACTTTAAAATTGACATATAAGTCATGTATCGTCACCTTAGTGCAAGATCTCAATATCTGCTTCTTTATCTATATGCAGTTATTGAGTTTTTGCACTAAGGTGACGGTATATCATGTGCTAAGGTAAAGTAGAAAGTAAATGCCACGCCTTAATATCAAAAGTTGTTTTTTTACAAATATAATTCATTGGCTTCACAAAGGTTGTATCATATTGCATTTTATTCTCTTCTCATAATAGAAAGACGTTTTTTTTATTTCTCTTGTTGATTAAAATAGGATTTATATATGTATTAAAGATCCTGTATGTTGTAATTAAGGTTGTTACCACACAAGTGAAATTTAATATATGTATATGATTATAAGAATATGATTGTATCATATTGCATTGTATTCTCTTCTCACAATAGAATTATTTTTTTTATTTCTCTTGCTGATGAAAATATGATCTATACATGTATTAAGAAAAATAAATGATTTTTATATTTACAGGGATTCTTTAAGAGAAGCATCTCCAAGCATGAGACTTTCAAATGTTACTTTGGTGGATCATGTGACATAAACCCCAAAACTCGCAGCCAGTGTAAAGCATGTCGTTTCAAAAGATGCATGGACACAGGAATGTCAATAGATGGTATTATACTTGTGTATTTTTCTTTGTTTGTTAGTTTAACTTTTGTGCAGATCTTAACCCATTTTTGTCATATGATTCCGGCGGTCGGTCCATACAACCGGTGTTACTGGATAAGAAGACAGTAGGTACCGATTTCTAAGCAAGTGACACACTACTAACCACACATGATTTCAGCATCAGGAGTAAGGGAAAACGGCCATAAGAATTTATTTCATTGTCACGCGAAATTTTACCTCGTCCGAGGATTGAACAAGCGACATATTGATTACGAGTTCGATGCTCTCTTATAAAGCTAAGAGAGTATATTTGGTATCTTTGCATAGAGAATGTCAAAACGTCTAATAGACGTCAATATAAATGGTCATTACTAATTGGAAGAAACTGACACTTTGCAGGTTTTATAATAAACCTTCACACCATTTTCAATTTCCGGATTTTGGAAGTAAAATTTAATAGAAATAACACCAATTTTACCAGAAAATCGTTCGGAATTCAGAATTTAGAAGTTCCGGAATTCAGAGGTATGGATTACATAGAAAACAGAAGGAAAAAAATTCAGGACCCTGAAAATTGTTCGGATTTCAGAAGTTTCCGGATTTAAGAAGTTCCGGAATTCGGAAGTTACACTGTTTATGTATTGTATCTGTGTTTCATAATTGTGTAAAAATAACATCCATGTTTACATAACTTCTTTAAGCATATATTTGGCTTTAGTTGATTCAATAGTTAAATTCTTAGATTTGAAACACTTCTTATTTTGTATTTATATATTTTATTTTGAAATTAGTTTACCAATTTCATAATATATTTGGTATTACACTTATGAACGTTATAATGTTTTGAGTTTTTAAACGTTTATAATATATACAGGTGTGCGAATGGGACGGATTCCAAAAGTCGAGAAAGATAAAGTTTTAGAAGCTTTTCATGATGGTGGGTCACACTATAGTAACCACGAGCTCGTTGTTCAGCAGACGGACGGTGGCAACTATAGGTTTGACCTCAATAAAACAGTAACAGCTAGTAAAACAACAAATACATCATCAAATGAATCACCCTCATGTTCTTTGACACCAGTTACATCAGTTTCAGCAGGGAATGACGTAGGTTATGGCACACAATCTTGCGGTGATGTCATTGTTAATGAAACTAACGTAATCCCTGCATCTCTTATTGACAAGACTGACGACTTTTGTAACAATATAGAAGGATTAAAAGAACAACCTGTTCAAAATTTATCTTCTCAAGCTATAAACAAAGACGCCGTATTTGATAATATTAAAAGCATACCTCTAGAAGACACGGTAGACACACCAGCAATGTTTAAGACGGATGGGAACAACACATTCAATCGATATTTCCCTGGTAACCAAACGTCAATTAGTACCCTTATTGATAACGTGCCGAGTGAAAGATGTGAAAATCCTTTTAATGATAAATACCACAATGTTAGTTTTGGCAAAAACAATCAACACCAACATAGAAACTCGAATGTTTCTCAGCAGATGTTAAATGATCAGAGATTTGTACAAAATATGAATGAATCATTCAATAACTTTTTCATTCTCAGAAAGTGCGATGAATCCTTTTAAAAAGTAAGGCGACTGGATATAGCAAAAGTATATAGTAACGCTGATAATCCAATTGATCAATCAGATGGTTTGAACTTGATTGGTCAAAGGCAAGGAGATGATATTAGATCCTTTCAGAATGACATAACCAATCAAATGGAAGACAACATAGAAAGAGTATCCAACAAACGTGAAGGAAACTTTAGAGCAGGTACATCTTCAGCTGTACAAAATCTCAGTCAATCGTTTTTAGGTAGCCCAAAACTAAAAGAGGAATCTGAAGAAGAGTGTTTAAGAAGAAGGAAATCTTTTAGCCCAACCTTGATTAATGTTTTACTGGAACAAGTTCTTGATTCTCAAGAATCCATTCAAGTTATCACTGAAAGAATCCACCAAAAGCATCAGCAAGGTAATTTAAGTCCACTCGTTGCCAAAAATCTTTCTCAACGCCTCTCAGAATTGTCAGCATCAAAAAAGCGACGTAAATTGTCGGACGAATCTATGAACAGCCCTTGTCCAGAAAACAGGAGCAGAAAACTTGAATCTTTAGATCATGTTAAAACGAATACTTTAAACGAATTGCACCTGCCGCCCGTCTTATCTTTAGGACATCAGGACTATTTTGAAAACGCTTCAAACAATAAGGAGTCAAATCAACAAAACGAGCGTATTTATCGTAATCATCAAGCTGACCATTCACACGTCCACTGTCATCACGTTCATTCCGACTCTTGTGGGATGTGTAGCTTCGATGTGGCAATTAATGTTCCGAAATATGAGGATATAGCTGGAGCTCCTGTAAGTACCGGGACTGTATCTAGTACATCATTATCTATGGAAGAGGAAAACAAACAACATCAGATTAGAGATACATTGGACGGTATAAACATAGCTATGAGAATTCTGAACAGACTGAAAGCGGAACACAGGGAGAAAATTCGCCAGTTTAAACTCGGAAAGGTATGTTATGTTTAAAACAGATTTGTTTCAAAACCTAAAGAGATATTACCTTTCTGAACAAGGTCCATAACTGCTTAATGCGAATTTTGTAATTATATTTGTATATCTTTAAACACATAGAAAATGATCACGAATAACCTACACAAAAACGAAAACTGTCCAATTAAGGAAATGTTTTACTCGGGATGACAAGATGAACATTTAAATTTAATTAGACAACAGTATAGTGCCCTGCCAGGCAGCATGGATGTACAGACTGACTTGTCTTTAAACTGGTGGCAAACGCTTATAACTTCCAGTTCCGCAGTTAAAGCATTCATACAATTTAATATTTTTTACAATCAAATTCACTTAAAGATCACCAATAAGTTTGTATGTATACTTTATAGCATAAAATCGTTTTGTGATTATTTTTGTATCTGTGTTTGTTTACTAAGAACGGGAACGGGATGGCACATAGCTCGTAGATTTACAGGAAGTCAAGGTGGTAACAAACGGGATATGACCGAAAAGCATTGATTACATTTATCATCTATACAATACAATAACACTAGCATGCTGTTAAAGTACTTTCTGTTATACTTTACTATGTTTTGTTTGACTTTAATATGTTTAGTAAAAATCTCAACGAGACAGCACTCATTTTATATAACATAGGTTAGCTGTACAAAGTCACCCTCCGCTCTGGAGCAGAACGATAGCCATATCTATGTTATGCATTAGACATCATCAAAATTAATAATGTCAATGAAATATATTTACCCTCTACGCAATGTTTTTAGAGTTATAGTAAGTTTTAAGTACAATTTAACTTTCACTTGCATCCAATGACTATTCAAAGAATGGAGAGGGCTTTTGTGCTCACCTTGGATTCGACTTCGCCGTCACTCTTTGGTTTAGTATTTGCGTGCAAGTTGGTACCTTCAATGATACTGTGAAACTTCACACACTTATTCATGTTATTTGAGAGCATAATAAGAAGTCATGGCCAAAGGTCCGTATTTTTAACATGGATTTTGACAGAATTTTGGCGCTTTTTGAACACAGAAAATTCTACATTATTCAGGCTCTTGTTTTTCTATTAAGCATTGAAAAACGTCCAGCACGTGTATTGTCCTTCTGACAGCTCTTGTTTCTTTTCTAACTCCTCAGATTTACATTCGAGTGATGACAGACAGTGAAGAAGACATCAAAGAAACGTACTCGAAGCTTATAAGCGGAATTCCAAGCATTAATGAGCGAATTCTAGGTAAAAAGTGATACAGGTTTGAAATACCTTCTTTTGTGTTCAATTTGTACAGGTCGTTAGACAACATCAGGGTTGTTTTGCGCTCATGATATGCAAGGGAGCACAATAATTTGTCTCATCCTTTATAACTTCCTGACGACTTACTACACGAGACGTCTTTTGAATACGGGCCACAGTGACTGAGTGATAACGGTAGTTAACTTCGAACTACTGGCCAGACACCGATATGGTTTCGAACCCCGTCATATACTTAAGTGTGTTATATGTGAGGAAGATGTCCTATTTCACGGACATTCTGTGTCTGCTCGAGTCTGGAATAAGACCTTCCTTCAAACAATTTAGGCTGAAAACTCAACCTAATTTGAGCTTTGCAGTGTCGACTTGACTTAAAAATATTAAGCTATATCTCTATGAAATATATAGTCAGTATAATTTTGCCGTTTTTATAATCTAAATTCTTGAGAGAGTTGTAAGATAGAATGAATTTTCTGTTATTTAACACAAGAAAAATTTTGTAAACTGCAGACAGCAGTTATAGCTTTGTACACTTTCAGAAAAAAAACACCCCCATCAAAAAAAAAAAATTTATTGATGTGCCCTTGAGTATAATTATGCATAACGAGAAAAGTTCCTAATAAGTTGATGTAGTGAATTTCTTGCACTGGTAATATGTCTGTAAGTAACTTACCTATATTAAACAACTTGTTCTATATTCTAAATTAAGACCAGATTACATTTACATTGTTAGCTACTATTTTTTGTCTTCGTTGTTAATATGATGTACATTTCTTGATTGTGTAGATATCAATCTTTATTCAGTAGTTACAAATTACTCGTCCAATGTTTGCAATGTTCAATGTATGTTCAATGTACATAAAATGTAAACAAGGCAAAATGTAAATTACGGAGATTACGGGACCCAAGTGAAGCCTTTTTGTCATGACGGACTGAAAATATTTTTTCGATATAAGCTCACTTTATTTTTACAGAATAATTATTCTAATTGTGAAAAATGACCCAAATCTGAATAACGTTGCAACCCGGGCTAAGAACAGCACAAAATACGATTTCAAATTCATTTTTGAGTATATTTTCAAATTATCTTTTTTATATCGTTCGGTTTTAAGTCCCCGAGCTGATCTATGTAAGAAATTAAATTGTCTTAGGGCTTATCGACCTCAGTGGAGTTCCTGGCAATTTTAGATTGCAAACGTTTCTGAATACAAACATTCCAACGGTTTCAGTTTTGCTGACCAGGGACAAGACTATGGGCTTAATACAAATTACTTTCTCTTAGTATCTTTGCAAGAACGAAATTAGTTTGCATTTCTTGGGAATCAACAACACTTGTAAGGTCTTAATCCGACGATCCATGAAATAGGTTTTTTCTTGTGACCTCAATTTAACTGTGTCTGATAGACGTAAGGAAAACTTAGACTATAAATTGTAGTTTTTTTTAATAAAAATGTTTGCAAACCAAATCTATATTTTACATCATGATGGTGACTTGGTTTTTTGTAAAACTGTTACATTTAAGACATCAGAAAATGATAAAATAAGTAAATCACATTATAAGCCTTTTGTCAATTATTATCTTCCATATGACCTTTATAACAAGTATTCAAGAGCTGTATTAATCGTATCGAATATGCCGTAAAAATGATAATCGTATGTCTTTTGTTTCATACTGAAGAGGATATTCTAGAAGTAAACATGTTAATAATGAGGACACATGTGTTTAATAGCTTAGAATTTTTGTAAGATTTTTCTTTCTTATTTCTATTCCTGTTAGTTACAATGCCAGAAATGGCAATAGCTCAAAGTTAAATGGATTCTTACCGAGAAAGAGCTAGAGCTAGTATTGATTTTTACCGCTCTTGACAACTTTTTTTGTAAACCTTTGGCTTCAGAGAAGGCGAGAACACTGGTACCTACTATGATACAAATGCAGTTGTTTATGGAAAGCCTTGACTGTCTTATAATTATAAACCTAAACGTTGTTATGTCCATATAGCATTATATTGAGTCAACCTTTCCTTATACAATGTGCACTCATTAATATATTATGTGGATCCATCTTTATATGTAGTCAACTGAACAATATATGATGTCAACGTGCCTTTATATGATATCAATCTATCATTATACGTTGTGCATTTTTGAATATATTATGTGGAGCCATCTTTATATAAGGTCAAAATAACAATATATGATGTCAAACTGTCCTTATATGGTGTCAGTCTGTCATTATATGATGTGAAGTTATGAATATATTATGTGGAATAATTCTTATATAGAGTCAACATTATATGATGTCAACGCGTCCTTATAAGATGTCATTCTATCATTATACGATGTGCGTTTTTCAGTATATTATGTCAAACCATCCTTATATAGAGTCAACTTTACAATATATGATGTCAACACGTCCTTATATGATGTCAATCTTTCATTATACGATGTGCATTTTTCAATATATTATGTGAAACCATCCTTATATAGAGTCAACTTAACAATATATGATGTCAACACGTCCTTATATGATGTCAATCTTTCATTATACGATGTGCATTTTTCAATATATTATGTGATACCATCCTTATATAGAGTCAACTTAATAATATATGATGTCAACACGTCCTTATATGATGTCAATCTTTCATTATACGATGTGCATTTTTCAATATATTATGTGATACC